GGTGGGAAAATGCTTTTCTTTTCACTTTTTTTTTTAAACATAAGAATTTAAAAATTGGACACTAGAGGGAACAAAAGATTACAATTAAAGGAGAAGAAGACATAATCTTGACTTACAATTACACAATGAAGAAAATATTTTAACATTGGACATACTGAAGAATATTTTTGAAAAAGGGACTCAGAAGTTAATTTTAATAGTGTCCACAGAGCGTCTATAGAGAAACTGTCTAAAAGATGTTATGGAAAAGGAACAAGTTCTACCTGACAAGATCAAGACTGATTTGAAAGTGGATTTCAATAGAAGAGAATATGTGTAGCTCAGGGTTGAATTGTGGAGTCCTTAGGGTTCTCTGAGCTTAGTTGTTTTCTTGCAGATGTTTCATTACCTGGCTAGGTAGTTCCTAATCAAGGAACTATCAAGGAGAAAGCAACACCCCCACCAACACTGACAGGGCAAGTTACTATATATAAACAGAGAGTAAACCCCACTCCCTTCTAGCACTGAGGATGTTACCTAGCCGGGTAACGAAACATCTGCAAGAAAACAACAAAGCTCAGAGAACTCTGTGAAAGTGGAGGACTCCATGAAAGTGGATTTACAAATGGCAGGCTACAAGAATTACATGGAAAAAGATGTTACACTAGACATACAAAAGAATCTGGCTGATGTCTTAATAATTAAAAGGGATATACAAACAATAAACCAAGAAAATGATCTGGATGATTTTCCTATATTGTATTTACAAAAAAGGCTTATTTTAAGTTTTGAAGAATCTTGTGAGAAAGGACAAAGAAAAAATTAAAATAAATCAAGTTCTATGACATTATTTGAATGCACTAAAGATTAAGAGCTTTATAGGGGGACGCGGTGGCGCAGCAGCTTAAATGACGCTGAAAGTTGCTGGCCAGAAATGGTCAACACTTCAGCGGTTCAAGCCAAGCTTTCGCACAGCAGAGTGAGCTCCTGTTTCCTCCCCAGCTCCTGTCAACCCAACAGATTGAAAACTTACATGAGTAGATAAATGGGTACTCTCACTCC